TTCAGGGGGCTGGAAACCAAGACCTATGAGGAAAGATTGAAAGAACTTGGCATATTTGTCTTTGAGAAAACAAGACTGAGGGGAGATTATGATAGCACTTTTCAAAGGCTGTCATAGAGAGGAGGGACAAGATCTGTTCTTGATCATCTCAGAGTACAGGGCATGCAACAATGGGATCAACTTACAGAAAGCCAGATTTCAGTTGAATATCAGGAAAAATTTCCTAGCTGTTACAGCAGTATGGCAGTGGAACCAAGCACTTCAAGAGGTGGTGAGCGCTCCAAAACTGGAGGCATTCAAGATACCTGGCAGATTGCCTTCTCCCTCCCAGATCTACCCGAATCACTCAACAAAGCCAGCAGGGATGGCTGAGGGACCTTATGCTGAGAGAGGTCCGGAAGGAAAGAACAAGAAACCGGGCCTTCTCGGCAGTGGCCCCTCGGCTGTGGAACACTCTCCCAATGGAAATCCGCCTGGCTCCCTTGCTGGGTGTTTTTAAAAGCCATTTTAAAACTTGGCTCTTTAGGCAGGCCTTCTCTCCAGTCAATTAACTGATCTTTGTTCTCAATTATTCCATCTTGATAATGTATGTATGTATCAGTTAGTGGGTTTTTATCATTATGTATGTTATGTTATTTTATTGTATTTTATCTCTCATGTAAGCTGCCCCGAGTAGACATTGTCTAGAGGGGCGGGGTATAAGTCCAAATAAAATAAAGTGGTGTGTTGATGTGCTGGATATTGTGTTGTCCCTTCATATGTTTACAAACAATTTACAAGAAATATATGCAGACATCACAATGAATTACATATGAACATAAGAATAGCCCTGCTGGAGCAGGCCAAGGACCCATCTAGTCCAGCTTTCTGTATCTCACAGTGGCCCTACCAGATGCCTCTGGGAGCACACGAGACAACTACTGTATTTCTCCATTTATAAGATTTTCTCGTTTATAAGATGACCCCCCCCCTTTTCTAACCAAAAAATTAAGAAAACTTAGCTTTGAGTATTCAGCCTCTGGGCTCAGAACGCTCCCACATTAGGAGTCCCTGTTGAGCTTGAGTCTGAGCCTACAGGCTCCATCTCCAACAAAGAGCTTGAATCTGAGCCTACAGGCTCCATCTCCAACGAAGTGTGTTCCGATTGGTTTGTACAGCATCAGCTGATGTCAGTTCCATAAGGCTCATTACTGAAGGAAACCTGCTTGCAGAAGCAAGGTATGGGCTGTTTACTGAAGGAAGCCTGCTTGCAGAAGCAAGGTATGGGCTGTTTTGTTCTCTCTGTGTTTTCAGTTTGCTTCCATGTAAAAGACACCCCTCAATTTTTAGTGAAATGATTTTCTACGTCTCAATCATGTCCCTCCTCAGGTGCCTTTACGTCTCAATCACGTCCCTCCTCAGGTGCCTTTTGAGCCCCAAACACTGTAGCTTTTCCTCATAAGGGAGGTGCCCCAGCCCAGCCATCATTTTAGTTGCTCTCTTCTGCACCTTTTCCAGTTTCACAATGTCTTTTTGGAGGTGCGGCGACCAGAGCTGTACATAATACTCCATGTGAGGCTTTACCAGCGTTTTGTACGATGGCATTAGGATGTTGGCTGTTTTATTTTCTGTCCCCCTTTTAATGATACCTAACATGGAATTGCCCTTCTTCACTGCTGCTGCCCACTGGATTGACACGTTAATCGAACTGTCCACCAACACACCAAGATCTACTTCCTGGTCTGTCATGGATAGCTCAGAATCTTTAATCAAACTGTCCACCAGCACACCAAGATCTATTTCCTGGTCTGTCATGGATAGCTCAGAATCCATTAGCTGATAACTAAAGTTTTGGTTTTTTACCCCAATGTGCATTACTTGTGTCCACCAGCACACCAAATTAAAAACAAAAATAACATAGCATTTTGAAGACTGTTATATTTCAATTATTTCATCCACTTTTTCAAACAACAGGAGTATTACTATTGACAAATGGTGTAGTCAAGTGGACTTGCCCCATTTTTTGGATACACGATGCCAGGATAGCAAAGTTGTTGTAAAGATCTGCCATGCTTTTGACAGAGCACCTCAGAGGTCTGTGTAGGAAAAGGACAATGTGATGTGGTTTACAAGTGTACGTTAATTATTGGAGCTCTAAAATATGCTTGTTGTGAAATCCATTGTTATTAAGATAAAACATTCATGACTTTAGACACAATAGGAAAAGCATTATGCCTGGCTTATAGAAGGACTCTATTGTTCTAGTTTAAATAAGTAGCTTATAAACCATATGTGTCTTACATTTCCAGACCAGAATCCGTATAAAGTATTAGGAACCTCGTAAGTGCATACAGTTCTTTAAGAATGGGACAATACAGTACTACACTTGCAACATAAAGGAAATATTCCAGACCAGAATCCATATAAAGTATTAGGAACCTCTTAAGTGTATACAGTTCTTTAAGAATGGGACAGTACTACACTTGCAACATAAAGGAAATCGATGTGGCAGAATTACAGGAAATGTATAAGAAGTTTGTTGTAGAATGCCCCAGTGGAGGTCTCTATTTGCATGAATTTAAGCAGTTTTTTGGCATTTCCAGTCAAAGTGAAGCATCTGAATATGCGGAGAGTGCATTTAAATCGTTTGACAGGAATGGGGTGAGTTTTACTTTCAGAGAGAGTTAAATGCAAGAGTGTCGGTGAAAGCCATTCACATCATGGAAATTGCTGCTCTGTGATCCCTGTTAAAAAAATCAAATGTGCTCTCTGTGTTGGTGAAAGCCATTCACATCCTGGAAATTATTGCTCTATGATCCCTGTTAAAAAAATCAAATGTGCTCTGCTGTTCAGGGATCATTCTTTAAAATCATTATGCTTCCTATTATAAGTCATATGATCATTTTTCTTTAAATGTTTCAGGATAACAGGATTGACTTTTTGGAATATGTTGCTGTTTTAAATCTATTGCTACGAGGCAAACTTGAGCACAAACTGAAGTGGTTGTTCAAAGTATTTGACACTGATGGGAATGGATTTCTGAATAAGGTTGAGTTGCAGAAAATGGTGAAGGTAAGAATGTTTTTTTCAATTTCATAATTTGATTTCATAATTGTGAGGCTTCCTCTATTATTGAACAGGGCACAATTCAAAATGTTGTTTTTGACCTATAAAGCCCTAAATGACTTACATCCAAACTATCTCAAAGACCGCATCTCACATTAAGAGCCTGCCCTGGTGTTAAAATAATCAAGAGAGAGGCCTTTCTCTCAGCCCCACCACCTTCACAGGTGCACTTGGTGAGAGAGCCTTCTCTGTTGCTGCGCCTGGACTTTGGAACCATGTTTCTGGCCCCATCTTTGCTATCTTTCCGCAAGCAGGCAAAGAGCTTTCTCTTCAGGCAAGTTTTGCCTTGGTGACTGGCTTTCTGAGAGGGTTTTTTAAATGGATTGTTATGCATTACTGCTTTGACTGTGTTTTTAGTACAGGGTTTGTTTACCATTTCTCAGGGGAGAGTTTTGTTTGTTCCTTTCAAATATCTGTATACTTGTTATTTTTAGTTTTAAATATTGTATTTTAACCATGCAAGCAGCCTTTGCATACTAATTGTTTTTAACTTCAAATACTGTCTTTTAATGATGTAGTCTACCTTTGTATACTCATTATTTTTAGCTTTAAATGCTATCTTGTAATTATGTAAGCTGCCTTGGGTCTTTCTAAATAAAAAGGTGAGGTAAAATATTTTAAATAAAATAAATTAATAAATAAATAAATAAATACAAATTATGGCAAGTATTAGAACAAGGTATGAGATGGCTTGGTCTTCATGTACAGCTGAAAGATATCAATGATGTATTTGTTGTTCAATCAGACAAATAGCTGGATAAAAACAACAATAATTTTATGGAATATTATATCCTCATTTAATATAGACTTGTCTCTCATTTTTTGCAAACTGTCATCCATGTAAAATATTTAACCATAATTCAATCTTTTCCAGAGTGTCTATAATGTCAAACAAGGATGGACAAAAAATATGGATACTCAAAGGTCAACCCCAGAGGAAGCAAGTGACAGAATATTTCAACTAATGGATGAAGACAATGATGGTGAATAAATTTTTTTGCATTTTTGTGGGTTTCTCAATGTGCATTAATGTATGTTTGACAACACTGATAAATATAGGGTATGTAGACTGGAAAACCAAGGAGGAAAAAAATGTCACAGCTAAACTAAGGCTGTAATCTATAGGGCCAATTGGTTTTGCCTACGCAGTGGCAATATCAGTTAATAGCAGATTGCTGCTGATAAGACTTCCTTTTAACTTTCAGTGTACATATAGCCTTGTTGCAGTGTGTATCACCTGAAGCTGATAAAGGACATATTTGATTAGTAGCAATCTGCTACAGATGCCATTTATAAAACAGAATTTTGACCTATATGCTAAGAAATGGAACCCTGAGAACTGGATTTTATATAGAGATGGTAGCTACTAAACAGAGATGATCATGAAGTTAATGAAGGTTCCAAGGCAGGCTATTCAAACTATTTTCAGAATATAAGCAAGCAAAAATTGATTTTACATACATTATTCACAGACAAAAATAGTAAATGACTGTTTGATTTTATACTGAGTTTCAGTTATTCCACTGTTTATTTTTCTAGTTCCAAAGCTGCAAACCTGAAAGCACCCAGACTTGAAGTCTGAAGAAGGTTTTTTTTTAAATCCTGTGGTTTGCAATCAACATTGGTAGCAGAAAAAATCATAATGAGATGGCATTGTTTTTACCAGTTGCATCTGGAACAAAATAAGAATTATATAGGAGTCTCCTGAATTATGTTTGACTATCCAGACCTGGAACGCCTCACTGACCTTTGTTGGGGTATATGGCTTGATGAATGCTGCCATAACATCTTTACATTTCTGACTGAATTGCTAACATATTAGCTTTCTTTGCTTTTCCAGGGAAGCTTTCACTAAAAGAATTTATTGATGGAGTGCAAAGAGATGATTGGATGAGGAAAATGCTGAATGTAGACATAAACCTCACAAAATGGATCACTGAACACCGCGACAAAGGCAAGGGAGAAGTAAAGGGCTAAATGCCAAGGGAAAAGGATGTGTCATCATATCAGCCCTTGCACTATTAGTGGGAAAACAGTAGATGCCTGAAATGTATGCCAATTATTTTTGTCAGGTGGCTTTTTGATTCCAGAAGATAACAGGTACAAAACAGCATCGCTTTTTATTGGTCCACAATATTATATTGATCAAAGTGTGAAGCTTTGGGTTAATTAGTTCACAACAAATGAATGGAAAGGTACTAAATATTTTAGCCATAGATACATAGAATATTGGTATTTACAATCCATGGATAGTTGTTTTAATGAGGTTCAAAGTATTTTAAAAATGTACAGCTGAATACTTGTATAAGTGTGAATAAAATCTAACTGCATGTATCACTTCAAATACTATACAACTTGGTTTCAGCTTCCAAGCCATCCATTAAGTTTCTTTATTGTTCCATAACACTTGTCTCTCAAACTACTTTTGCAGATTGTCACCTTGTTCTCTGCCACTTCCTCATACAAATTCCACATAAAGTTCCTTTGTCTTTGCTGTTATCACTGCAATTCTCAAGTAGGTTTCTCTCACACATAATTTCCTCCATATTTGCTATATGAGCCCTGTCGGAATGCACAGCAGCCATTCCTTTAAGCTGTGTTATGGCTTGGACATGGAGGGTAGCAAATGGCTACAACCTCTGCATAATGACCTAGTGGACCATTTCTAAATATATATATATTTTTTTGGGGGGGAACTGAAAGATATTTACAAGTGCAGAAGTATATACTTGACTGGAGAACTGGGTTATTATTCCTGAGGGTTGATACAGTAACTGCTTTGGGAATAGCACTACATGTTCATGGCTTGTTTCTGTATCCCTGTAATGGCTCCTTAGCACCAGAGTTTGTAAATAAAAATATCATTAAAAACTTAAACACTTCAATGCTTATTTGTTAATCAATGATATGTTTGCCTCTACTTAAAATAGTTGTATACATTACAGAGACCTACAGTCAACTAGAAACAGAGTTAGGGTAAATGAAAACTAACTGCAGCCTTTCTATAGCATTGCATGCCATAAGTAAGCACCAATGAACATGCATGATTACACCCTAACATTTCAGCACCCAAGTCCTTTCCTTACTTAAATGACATTGTTCTAGGATCCGAAGCAAAGGAAATAATAAATTATAGGACATATAAAAACGAAGGAAGACATCCAAATATGAAACACTATCTTATTTCTAACATGAAAGATCTTTGATAACAATTATGTAAATCAGGGCAGAAATGCACAAGATAATCAGCTTTGCAATTCAGAGATGATGCCTGAAACCCTGTTGCTTAGGCATAGCAAATCAATCACAGCTAGAGTAGACCCTTTGAATCAATGGAAGTTACAGAAGAGTTGACTTATCAAATCTCCACTGGCTTACTCTAGTTGCCACTTACTATGCTAATCAACAGGATTTCAGCTGATAAAACATTATTCTTCCAGAGATGCATTCTTCAAAGCTGCCATGTTTACATAGTCATTCTCCTCAAAACTACCCACCAAAGAAAAGCAAGCACATTTACAGGTTGCCATGATGAAAAGCAATCTTGAAGAATAATAGCTGAGTTTGCGTCTAATCATGAACTTGCTTGTCTCATCTGTGTTTGTCCTCAATAGGACATCATAAAAACATAAGAACATAAGAGCCCTGCTGGATCAGGCCAAGGGCCCATCTAGTCCAGCTTCCTGTATCTCACAGTAGCCCCACCAGATGCCTCTAGGAGCACACGAGACAAATAGATATCTGTCTCCTGATATCCCTCCTCTGCATCTGGCATTTTGAAATACCTTCCTTCTAAGGAAGATTATACACCCCCATCATGGCTTGTAACCTGCGATAGACTTTTCCTCCAAAATCTGTTCAAAAAATGGCTTGAGGGCCACATGATAGCTCCCCCTCACCCCGTTTAAAATAATTACCATGCTGGACATTTGGTATTTACATTACATAATGCTATATCCCATTCATCTGAAGAAGCAGGTTGTGGTGCACAAAAGCTCCTATCTAAGAAGAAAAGTTAATTTTTAAGATGTCATAAAGCTCTTTGTTGTTTCTGCTATTCTTAGAGGGTAATTATTTTTGTCTCACTCTGCCCTCTATTCTTTTATTTTAATAATAACAATGGTTCCTTTATGCTCTCTAAGCTGTTTGCGCTTCAGTTCCACAGTTGCAACGTTTGGTCCAGTTTTTGGATCTCCCTGCTTCTTCTTTCCTCCAGAATATAATGCCTCTTGGCCTGATGAGAAATTCTCCAGAATACAAAAATGAGGACACTTTTTTGCATTGTGATTGATCTAAAAAAGGAATTGCCCTACTTTCCCCCCCTCAAACTTCTCCCTATTTTGTTCATTTCTTGCTTTGGAAAACATTCCATTTAGCCATTAGGAGGAACAGGATTATTCTCTACTTGAACAGAGGTTTGGCACTCGCACCAGCACTAGGTACTAGTGACCATTAGCCTTCAACTGAGTTTTGACACTTAGCTCGCCACTTGTTTTAATCCTCCGATGAAAGTCACCTCTCTTTATACGCCTCTGTACAGAACCTCTCTGTTTTGCCCAAGGCAGGACTAAAGGAACAGATGCCGGAGTTGCAGCCTGTCTTTGTGTTTTCAGAGGTGAGACTGGGCATTTCCCCCCATCTCCCAGATGGCATTCGCGGATGCAAGCTGACACACTTACTCTCCACCTTGGCACTGGGCTACAGTATTCCTGGCTGCATCTGGTCTCGCTTGGTGGTGGTGGCGGCGGCGGCTTTCCTCCATCCTCTCCTGTTTTTGGAAGCCCTGCCTGATAAAAGTTCTGAAGAAGCCAACAGCTGGCGCCCTTGTATCCTGCTGCCCCATTTATTTTTAAACGTTGCTATAAAAGCGGAGGGAGGGAGGGAAGGGCACGAGCTGAGGGGCTCTCGGGTTTCTACACCGACCCTCTTCTTTAAAGAAATTAACCCAGATAGGCAATGAGGAGTTTACTTTTATTATACTTAAACCTAGGAATCACAGCACATAAACATTTTACAATAAATCAAATGGGAGCGCCTTCGACGCCGCTAGAGGTCGCTCGCCCAGCAGGTGGATGGAAAACATTTGGCTATGCACGGCCCGAGGGAGAGGGGCGGGTTCGACGGCAGCACCGGTTCCTGGTCGTGATTGGCTGCGGTGTCCCTTGCGCACGTCACGTCCTGACGTACGTCAGGCTCGCTCTCGCCGCCGCCGCGTCGAAATTCCTGGTCCCTCCGCTGCGTCGCGGACTTCGGAATGACTGTCCCGGCCCGCTTATGGGCTGCCTGGAGCGGGCCGATGCCGGGCTAGCGACGCGGCCTGTCAGGTTCGCCCTCCAACCCCTTTCCCCCTGCCTTGGCCTTCCTCCGAGCAGAGTGGGAGCGGTCCAGACTTTTCCCCTCCTCCCGCCAGGTGAGTGCTGTCGCCGGCCTCGGCTCCCCGCAACCACCGGCTCTCCTTCGGGAAAGAAAGCAGGAGGGTCGCCTCACGTCCCAGCCGGAAGTAGTCCCTTCTGTCCTGCCCCGCCCCTTTAAAGGGGCCGCGTCGGTCTCCTCGCTCTTTCCCCAGGTAGTGCCTTGTCCTTGGAAGCATCGGTTGCCAAACTCCCCGAGAAAACAGAACTTCCTTATCGCCTCATTGGGAGCCCCATTGAAATAGCTTCCTACCGACAGAGAGGGAGAGGGAGGAAGGGAGAGAGAGAGAGGCAGGCAGGCAGGCAGGAACAGCTCTTCCTTCTCACTCCCAAGCCAACTATACCAGAGCACAGAGAGGGAGGCTGGCAGGCAGGCAGGAACAGCTCTTCCTTGGCACTCCCAAGCCAACTACACCAGAGCACAGGGTGATGTCCTCTGAAGATGCCGGCCACAGAGACTGGCGAAACATCAGGAAGAACAACCTTCAGAACATGGCCAAAGAGCCCGAAAAACCCACAATCACCATTAGATCCCGTCCGTGAAAGCCTTCGCGAATATACTGTATAGCTCTTCCTTTCTGTTCTTCAGAGCTGATGGGCCTGGTGTGGAGGCTTGTTTCCTCAGAAATCCGCCAGAGTTGGGTGGAGTTGATTCCCAAGCAAATGGGATTGCATCTCTGTTGTCAATTGAGGATCCAGGTGACAAAATAGATCAAGCCCAACAATAACGCTCTTCCTGATTTGTAAAGTTAATGGAAATATTTGCAGTTGGAACTTAAACTCAGTAACAGGTGCTGCTGTGTTGAAAATGGGGTTTTCTTACCAAGAAGTATGCATGGGATTGTCTCAAAGGTCTTTCGCTTCATATTTCTTGTTGCTGTTGTTTGTGGTGGCTGTTAGCCATTGTTTCAGGATGGAAAGGTGTGGGTTGATGCTGTTTGCCCCGTTCATGCAGAAATTGGACTTTTTTTGGGGGGGGGGAGACAGGAAAGGTGTGAGCAGAATATGGCTAGATGTTCTAGGATGAGATGCTATGAAAATTTGCATCTCTTGTAATAGAATTGTCAGTGTTGACAACCATGGGAAGCTACTGCTGTAACTGGTTTGTATTAATTGTTTTATTATTAATCAGAACTGCACTCATACAGACTGAGAAGGGTGGAAGTGTATGTAGTAGTTAGTGTCAGCCATGGAGCTCCCTGTGTGACCTTTGGGCAGACACATTCTCTTAACCAGACATACCTCAGAGGGTTGTTGTGAGAATACAGGGAGTAAGAGGAGACCAGTGTATACGAGTGGGTGCTGATAAGTAATGAACCTTTCCCAGAAAAGATTGAGCTAGGAAGCTGTAACTGCAGTTAAGTCAATGCACTTGCAACGTCTGTCCTGCAGCTTCTTAAGTCCCTGCAAATAAAATTCTTCCGACTGCTGGTGTCGGACCACTCATTTGCGGCATTAGTTGCCTCCAGAACACTCCCAAATCATTGTCCCTTTAGGTGTTTTTTGAGTTTGGGGAACATATAATAGAAGGAGCCAGGTCAGAAGAATAGGGTGGAGGGGGCATCACTTGAAAGCCTAAGGACGTCAGTTTTGCCATTGTTTCACCTGCAGTGTGTGACGAGGCGTTGTCATGCAACAGGATGACACCTTTGGAGAGCTTTCCTTGAAGTTTTTCCTTGATGTTTTGCCTCAGCTTCGTCAATAAAGTACAGTAATATTTTGCATTGATGGTTGAACCCTGTTGGAGG